CAAAAACGCAGCGGTAGAGTTTGACCCCGGAACCGACTTCCCATATTACGGACGCATGCACAGGCGCTTGTGCAATCTGGTGTGAGATCCAACAAGAGGCACCTGCGTTGTCAAACAGCAGGAGATCTCCGTTCTCGCAGCCGACCAGCATCTTGTCGTCATGCAGCCATGTGTGACCTTGCCCACACTGATCTCGAAGTCAGCACACTCAGAATTGATCACTCGCAATCGCAAAACACCCACATCCCGGCACTGCTACAGTACACCGAGCCAACTTGACCCTTTGCATGCAATCCAGCCGCACATGAAACTCTGCAGCTTGGCCGGAGCCACAGGCAGTGTCTTGAAACCATCCTACAAGTATCAAGCTGAAGTAACGTCATGCTTGCTGACTGAAGAAGATTCAAAGAAATCTTTGTCAACACTGTTCAAGGCTAAATGGTTTCCATAGTTTGACCCTGCTCCTTGAGCTGCATGAACTTGAAGATGCCGTCACCAATTACCTGATGTAGGACTGGAGGCTATATCTGAGAGGTGCATTGCGAGACTCCCTCACCCACACCTCGCATATGCTGCCCAGCTGCACAAACTATGGAAGAATCTGTCGGATTGAAGGAGCACTCACGAATAAGTGCATTCTGCGGATTAGACACCTTGATCGATGCCATGTACCGAGCCTTATCCCAAATCCAGTATATCAATGTCCAGTCGTGCTTCTCGCTCGGAGACTTGCCAGTCTGTGTGAGCAGATACTTGCTGTCAGACGAGAAGGCTACGCAAACGAATTCTGGTGCATCTGACTCCGGCCAGGACAACGTTTTTCGCTTCCTGCATTGCTTCACAAGACCATGCACGGGTTCGGCAAGCGCTTGCAATCTGAACGTATTGTGCAAATCTGTGCAACCAGGTATCTTGGCTGTGACCAAATCGAAGATGGTGCAAATGGCCCCTTCGTAGCATTTTTCTGCCACAGCCAGGTAGCGCTTGGTGTTGTTGACCGCCATGCAAGTTAGACCTTCTGCACCCTCATTTCCTGGAGACGGAAATCAGGGACCACCGAAGGTAGCAAGAATCTAATGCTAAGCTCAGGTCCTTGGAAGATCTTCTGCTGCTTCTGGTCAGCTTGCCACAGGACTGCATTGGTGCCTGCGGGGTAGATGACCTGTGTCTCCTCCGCATAATGGACGTTGTTCTTGACATCAGACCTGGGTGCGCAAAGGAAGTCATGGCTGTGTGGACAGCTGTGAAACCCTGCAGCCGGCATGGCAATGATCGAGAAGTCACTGCGCGAACCCTGGCCAATGCTTCCACAGTGCTTCAAGCCGAAAACGTGTCGATGCTGCAAACTGATTGCCGGCCCTTCAGAGGCTCTCTCCTGCGTGACAGCTCACCAATTCAGCATGCGACGTTGCACAACACAGTTGGCAGACTGATAACCCCAGGCACACCTCTGCCATGGGCCTGGTCCAAGCCGCCCAGCTTGAGCAAACATGGCTGCAGGTCTTCCTTTCTGGTGACGGCACTCTGCTACCCTGCCTGCAAAACCAACAAATGCGCAAAATGTCTCAGCTGCTGTGAGGCGGTGCTTCTCCAAGGCGCCTCTGCACAGGCGCTGCTGAGCATCCATCCTGCCTCGCTGGCCCTGGGCAGTAGCTAGATGCCAAGTGCCAACACAGGATCATCTATTTTTGCATATGTGCAACTGTTATATGAAGTCTGACCGGCAAAGGCCATCACGCAGAGACTGTCGCAAGATCCTTCTCAAGGGCCTGCGCACCAGGGTCCAGCGCAAAGCCACTGTTCACATGTTTCCCATGCTCGCTGCGTTTCCCATGTACTTCAAGGCAAAACAAGCACTAAGGATCATTGAGCTTGCATAAGACACACACAAAGCAGCAGATTTCTTTGATTGGGTACAGACCGCTATGGTGGTGACACTCAATGCCAGGCTGCAATGCAAGGGTATAGATGAACTGAAGCAAGCCTCAAGCTCCTGCTCAAGGTCTTGCCGGTGCTTTCGCAAGCGGTCAAGGCCTCAATCTGCAACAATCTGGTGTAAAGGATAGCCAGCGAGTGCGGGATCCCCCGACAATACAAGAGGCTTTATGAAACTGAACCCTATCCCGGATTGAGCCAGGACAAAACAGAATTGAACGAACAAGCTTCCCATTCGGATTTGCCTCAAGGGAATAGTCATGCAAAGGCTTTAAGAATTTAAACGCCTGAAATTCACGAATGCCTGGCCGCAAATTCTGAACGTAAAAATTGGCCGACCCTTTAAAATCTAGGGTTTTGTCTCGTGGCGGTCTACAGTTTGCTAGCGAAAAGAAGCTTCCTACAAAAGCTCTGACCCTCAGCGTCTTGCTGCACTGGGCTGCCGGGCACCCCTCCTCTCCTCGGGCCACGCCAAGCTCGCCTGCCTGCAGCAAAGTCTTGGCCAAATTGCCATCCAAGCACCGGATGCTCGAATCCGGGGCCCCCTCAATACGACGCAGCTCGTCTGCAGCACGCGCCATGGCCTCGTTCTGACTGCGCGAGCTGCAAACACGCAAGAAGCCTTTACACAGAGTGTCGGAGCAAAGCACAACAGCGGAGCAATTCGTAGAGGCCGCCATGGAAAGGGGCACCACCTTGGGTGGCCTCTTTGAATTCTTGAAGTGGCTTCCTTGAGTCACAGATTTTGCTGAAGGTATACCTGTCAGTGACTCAATGGACCCGGCTCTCGTGCGAAGACACTTCAGATCCCGGAATGCCTTGCGTGCTGACTGCATCCAGCAGCGTAGGCTGTTCGAAAAAGCTCTACATGTCAAGTTGAGCCTTCAGCCAACTCGAGCAAGCCTCGGCCACGAGGCGCATCTGCGACCCGTATTCTGTACATCCGGATATCCGCAATTCAGAAAAGCAGTCTGAGCAGGGCATGCCTCAATGGGCACACCATCGAGGCATATGCCACATGCTCAGGCTTCATCTTCACCTCTCCATACAGCTGGCGGCACCTCCAAGGTCCAAAATGGTGATGCTGTGGCCACAGTTGCCTTCGGCGCTTCAAAGCCCATTAGCTTCAGAAGTCTCGACCAAGCCCTCGATGAAGTATTGGCGATCCCTGCATGCACTGCACGTGAGTCGAAACACATGCCAGTTTGGGACCCAAGCATGCGAAATGATCCACCACTGCTCCATGTGATTTGCCTCCAGTACCACTGCCCGGCTCTGACGCTAATCAGACGCTCTACGGCCTGCTCAGCTGACATGTGCTTGCCTCAGCTGCCAACCCACATAAGCATACATTTGCCTCTCACTGAATTGCCCTCCTTGCACAGTCTTTGGATTTGTCGAGAGGCGCAGGATGAGGAATGCGCAGAGCGTGCTAGTGCTGCGGTTCATACCAGCAAAGCAGTGAAAGAGAATCGTCATCTCGCCAGTCGAAGCTGCCTGCACGAATCCATGAGGACAGCATCATGTTGAAAAACACGTGTACAGTAACTACTTTGCTAGTTTTTGTGTCAGACCAGCATTGCCTCGATGGCATCCAGATCCCTGCAAACCTGCTGCCAGCGATTCCTGTACTCGACCTCCAAACGATGCATGTGCTTCCAGTTCTGCTCTCATCTTGATACAGCAATCGTCAATTCGATTGGGCAGGGGTTTGCTGCTGGCAGCTGCAAGCTCATAATGCAGGTGGTCGACCTTCTTTGCATCATACTCCTCGCCGGGGAAAAGGACCTTGTCCCAGCCTTTGTAGCGAAGGTTGGTGATACCCAACGAGCCATAATACTCCTGCACATTCAGGTCACGGGAAACTGAAAAACAAGCGACACATTTGCCGCTTGCCAGTCGGTCCTGGTAGTCCGCACGCTCGCCATCCCTTTTCCACTCTTCGTCGGACATCGTGACGACGACGGTCACATTCACGCCCAATGCCCGATTCACTTCTGAACAGCAGGGAAGTGAAGAATGGAGCAACCCTTTCTCAAAAGGCTTGAATTCAAAACAGTGACTATCAAAGACACGTCTGGGCTGCACAGTCCAAGCAAAACAGGATACGAATATACAGGAATTATTACTCCGACGTATCACGACAGCCTTCGATCTCGCAGGCGGCTTTGACGCTCCCAAGCCTGGCCAGCGGAAATCCAGAACACAATTGTCTGCAAGCACCTGCCACATGTTGACCTCAAGTCGTCCTTCAAAAGCTGACGTTCTGCCAAGCGACAGCAAGTGATGCTTTTCATCGCGGAAGATGCTGACGGCATCAACAGGCCAAGTTGCAACATCGCGGAGTTTGCTCTTCCTGAGTTCACAGTTGACCCACAACCTAGCATTGTGCTTGTGGTCACTTCATGATGTTACGTGGACACATTGTCCAGGTGCCTCATGCATTGTGTGACATTCAAGAATCCAAGAATGCAAGAAGAATAAGTGCCGGGCTTTGATGCTGCGTGGAGTTCTTTATCCACAGCCTCGGTCAGTCGAATAATTGCTTCACTGCCCCAGACCAGAACGCCTCAGCTTTTGCTGGAGAGGCACCGTCCATTCCTTGCACCAGGCATCATCCAGTCGCTTGCGAATACGCTTGCTTCTCTCAACTGGACTCAGCGCTCGCTCCTCACAGGAAAAGGAGCAGCGATCAGCTCAAAGAAACAAGCACTTGACAGCTGATGGCTTCCTCTGCGACAGCTGATTTCTCCCCGATCCTTTGCTCCAAAACAGAGTCTTCACCCATGGCGCGCTTCAGTTAAACTGCTCCACCATCCTTGCAGGCAATCCCCCTTGCCAACGCTCTGAGCCAGGCATTCACACGGACTGTGCAACTGTGCACAGTTATTGCCTGACTCTACAAAGCCGGCAGACCCCTTCCAACATCAGGCTTATTCAGCGACAGGAGACTTTGAAGCCTAGGTTTCGGGCTGCTGTATACGTTGATTGCACATACGCATTGACAGCCCGTTCACTTGGCGACCCAACCTGACAAAGCAGGGTCCAGAACACTGTCTAAACCTTCCTGATCATTTCAAAGGGGCCCCTGTGCTAACGACTCAGTGCAAGTGTACTCACTAGTGCAGAATCACTGCAGATGCCACCTTGCAAGCTTCCACCGCCGCAGCATACCCTTCCATCATTGTAGTCACCTTTGTGCGAACTCACACCACTGCCACAGCAGCGCAAACATGCGTGAACACACCAATTTGCATCACTCTGCCTGTCACCCAGCCAATGCAAGTAGAAGGTCCCAACCGCAGCATCAACCCGTCGGCGCAAATCCGTGCGCCTCTGACGCGCCTCAGGCACCCCAACAAGCCCCATGCATGTCAAAAGCCAGCCGCCAAGTGCCTTTGCTTGCAGCACATCCTCGGGCTCCTCTGGCTTTGATGCCTCACCAGACTTTGCTACATCAACTCGGGGGATTGATTGTTGGCTCTCCAGCCTGCAGTTCGGAGCCTCCAGCTTCTGCCATGCTGGCATTTTGCAAAAGCTTTCTGTTGGCTCAAGGACACTGGTAATGAATGCTTGTGCAACTCATGCTTCCAAGATCGAATCTCGGCTGAGCTAAAAAGAAGGTGCTTGCAGGCACAACAATACTTGTCAAAAGCTTCTGCTTTAATGTTTACTTCGCATTAATAAATCCCCCCCCCACCCCCCCTTGATTGATCAATCTCGATTTTCAGGGCCCCCGAAATAATAATGGTGAAAATCCTGATTACGAAGTAGTTCTAGTTTTAGTATGAGTATGAGTAAGAGACTGAGGAATTTGAAGGCAGATCAGAAGAGGAAATTAAAGGCAGGTAAGAGAGCGCCGGGGTGCGCCCGAAATGTCGCCGGGAGGGTGTAGAAGAGGAGTTTGAAGGTAGATGAACGGGCGCCGGGGCACGCCCGCCGGGAGGGTCTAGAAGAGGAGTTAAAAGGCAGATCAGAGGGCACCGGGTCTTAATGTTAATATTGATATGAATATAGGTAGTAATATTAATACGTGTGGTAATAAATTAATATGAATATAAATATTAACAGCAATATTCATAGTAATAGTAATCGTAACCGTAACCGTACCCGCAACCGTAATCGTAATAGTAGTATAGTAATAGTAATAG